ATCTTTCTGTGCCTGTGATGGGTGAAGTAAGATTGATTCAACTTACAGGAGCCCCAAGCATTAATGGTGTTCAAATTTCTTCTCTCAGAGGATGTGGAGGAAGGAAGAATTCTGAGAGGTATCAGGATGTGGAGTTTTCTAAATTTCATATAATCTATCACCTCAGCTTCTTTCTACAGTGACTAGATGTATCACAATTAGGAAATGCTTTTAATTCATTGTGTAAAGGAGTTACAGAAAAAAAATTTGGTCCATCAGGTACTAGGCAGGTTTTTAGGCTTGTCTAGTTCCCCCATCCTCCTTTTTGAGACAGAAATTTATGATGCCTTTTCTGACGGATTCTTTCTCAGTGGTGATTAGCTGTCTTAAAGTATCAGCCTTTGTTGGTTAGGAAGGGTTTTGGTCTCAGGTTTAATGGGAGGTAGCTTTTCCAGACTGGTTTTCAGCATGGAAATCCATCCTTTCAGCAGAATCTCAAATCTGCTTTTATCCCAAATTTTTTACTTGCTGAAATCTTTCCTGTGAAAGTCTACCAAGAATGAATGGTGTTGATGTCTAGAAGACATTGTGGTAGAGTTCAAGAAGAAGAAGAGCAAGGTATGCACTTGCTGATAAGGCATCACATCCTCATTGATCCTCCTCTCTCTAGCTTACTAGGGAGGAATTATTTGCTTCTTCTCTCCTTTTTAGGGTGACAGCTGTAATAGGGATGACGGGGATGAAAGACTGGTTATAAGACTAGACTCGGCTACAAATGTCAGGTCTCCCTGGTTTAGACCAATGGCTTAGTGATTGTATTACATGAACGAATTAGATATGGGCTCAAGCATAAAATGGGATTTCAGGATCAATCCTTTATTTCTGCATTGCAAGACAATCACAAGCTTCCCCATTTCACATATAAACCCTCAGAGGAGTAATTTGAGGTTGGTGCTTTTTTGTGTATTAAAGTAAATAGGAACAAATATACTGTACATTGTTTTCTCCATACCATCACAAATACCAAGTGCTTTAGAAACTTGACTGCTTTTGTGGGATACAATTACAATCCTGGTAGTTTCCCTTCACAGTGTTTTTCCATCTTCCTTCAGTGCCCTTCAACTCCTGATCAGATTCTTTTTCCAGTTTTACTTCAGACAATAGGTATGTTTCTAGTATTTTGTCAACATTCACAGTTTTACAAAATTAATGTTTATTTTCTAGAAGTATTTATTTATTTAATTTTTTTTCTTCATAAAATCCTGAAACTGTTCATTATTTTAGTAAATCTGTGAATCTTCAGTTAGTCAGTGTAGTATAAATCTACATAAAAACAAATTCAATTTATAATTTTACTGTTGATGGATTTTCTTTTGGTTCTTTCAGCTTAAAGAATTACCGGGTATCTGTTAACACTTCAGGATTTTGTAAATGCATTCAGCAAGTCTACTGTACTTAGAGACAAATTTTTAGTTAAACTTTCCACAAGTCTTTAATGATCTCTCTGGTAAGTTTTTTCCTAAGTCTGTAACAAAATCTGTATCCCACATGCTCCTTGTAACCCATTCTGAATCTTCTATCATTAATAGACACTTTTGTAGTGTCCTATCTTAAAATTAATCTGCATAAAAGGGTAATCCTCTTGGCAGTAACTTCAAAGATGGTATCATAATTCATTAACTTTGGTCATTCTTTAAGTTAGGCCATTTTCAGACTAACCCAGTCGTATTAAGTAAGCTGACATGACGTGAAATGATAAATTGAAATATACATTTTTAAATTCATTACTAAATAGAGTCACTCAGCCAAACAAACTGCACAGCAAGGTTTTTTATGAGGTTTGATCTCTACTGTGACCTTCTGCAACGGATGTTCAAGTCCATTGTGGAAAGAGGCACATGGGTCTCAGTTAGAACTGTATCTCAAAATACCTTCAGAAAATTATCACCCATCCAGAATGTGTGCCACTAGGGTTAATCCTCAAAGTTTTATAAGGCATAGCAGGTTCTGACAGACTTTACAATTGAGTAGCATTCAATGATCTTCTTGACAAATGAACTCCAACTTCATTATCTGAGCTGATTCTAGTCTCGGTGGTCACCCACCAAGGAACACGAGCTATAAGTTAAGTATTGAAGCATGACATTTCATTTTATGTATTAGAACCAATGTGAGTAATTGGGATCCCTCCTTCCTGAATTTTTATCTTAAGGTACAGGGATTATTGAAAGTCTAACTGGTGACTGAGTATCATAACTGCTCATGTAGATAACCACTTTTAGATATCGTAAAAGGGTCAGGCTGTGTCCGGGCAGAGTGCTTCTTAGGCAGCAAATACAACATTAACTTGAATAATGTGTCCTGTTTAACTATTCTGCTCCATGGCAATTGATGGGCTCTACTCTGGGATGATTAGTGCTGGTATCTCAGCAGGCACTCACTAACTCACCTCAATCCTTAGCTATAAAATGGGACTTCAAGCTTAACTCCTTTATTTTTTTTATTGTTTTTTTTTTTTACAAATGACTCACATGGTATATCATTTTATGATAAGAATATAATGAAAATGAAATACAGGCGTCCTTTTAATATGGCATAAGAAATTATGGGAGCCAACATACATGTATTAATAGCAGTAAACCCATGTCCCAACTGCCTTGCCAGTTTTTGTATGGCCATCAAATTTGGCAAGTCAATATGGCATTTATCAGGGTAACTGACATTATCCCATCTTTCATATACTATTGTACATATGTTTCTTTATATAGGGTAATAATAATAATAGCTGGTCTTTAGTTTTTCAAAAGCACCGGTTCTTTTAAAGAATTCACTGGCACTCGAAACACTACAGAGTCAAAGACAGTTTGTATTCTGTCATTCATATAACCTAAGTTTTAATCCTTCCTAAATCCTTTAATTCTCCATCCCCGTTCAGGCTCATAAGCTTTCAAAAAAAGAAATGGCTCAAGTTGTTTCTTAAAGGCATCCATAGAAGTCGGTTGCTTCATGGATTTAGGCAACGGATTATTCACTCTGGGTGTTGTATAGGAAGAGGATCGGGCAGCAAAAGAACATTTCCTTACAGTACTGCTCTTCTTAGCTGAAATGTGTCGGGTTGTATCTTAAGCGTTATGGTACTTAGTTAAATATTGAGGTATTTGTTTTCTTCAGCAGAATTGGTTCAAAGGTTCACAACTGTATGAAAATAGTACCTGTAGCCCAAAATTAATTGATTGTTCAATTTTTACAAGAAGTGGAGAGAAAGTAATTGATGCACAGAGATATATACTGTATATGGAGAGACAGACCTGTATCAAGGATATGTGGAAGTGAAAGAAGAATTAGACAGTGAGCTGACTGGGTTTGCTAAATTGGTATGAGTATCGAGATAATGGGAAGTGAAAAATCAGTTAAAAAATAGGAAGTGAAAAATCAGTTAAAAACAAAACAATTTATGTACATTATCACAAAAAGATAACTGTCCATACACTGTGTGAAACCTTATGAGACCACGTATGATAGATATTAGGATATGCATTTACTTTGGCATAATTATAGTTTAACATGAGTAATGCAATGTGTATTTATTTCAGTGTAATTGATATGATGTTCGGTTACCAAATGTAGTAGGATCCGTATACCACAGAGCCATGCATATAAACCCTCCCGGGACATCACAGATTGCATGTAGCATTTTGAAAGTCATTGGTCCCATCCTGGCAGATACTTTTTGAGATACTGTACAGTAAATCAGAGGTGGATGGTAGGGTAAAGAGCAGAAAACTGAGAAGGAAATTAAAGAGGGGTGAAGGATGCATCAGAGATGTGGGGGAGTGGACATTTAGGAAGCAGTGATATGTAAGAATACTAGAAAGCATGGTGTTAAGTAGCATTTAGGAAAGTACATATGGTATTAGTGATACATGATGCTACATTCTGTGCAATGACAAAGATAAACCTGATAGATGTGTTAGGGCATGTTTTGGAAAGTGAGAACCCTAGTAGAACATATAAATTATGGGTTGCCATCCTCTCTTATCTTGTCGGCCTTCTCTCAAGGATGGAGTGCTCTGTATGATATGCAAACAGACTTTGCTTTTTAGGCTTTAGCTCATAGGTCTCATGAGTATGTCAGTAATCCTGATAATTTTTCAGTAATTCTGCGAAGTTGAACTCTTTTTGCCAATATACTGAGGATCTTTGAGACAGAAGGAAGAATTATTGAATAAACTCTTCCTCGTTTTCACAGGGCTTTGTTTCCCATTACCATAAACTTAATGAGGTTTACTTTCTGTATAAATTGGAAATTGAAAGGGCAGTTAGAGATGAATGGCCCTCCTATATGTGTGTGGTGGTTCCCAGCCTTCCTATACTGAATATCAATTGGAGCTATAATATACTTTAAATTTTTATTAATTTTCGATTTTAAATAATTTTGGAAAAAAGAGAAATGTGCCTATGTGATTTAAAACAATGAATATGAAAACTTTGTCTAGCTACTTTTAGAGCTTCACTTCATAACTTCTTTCTCAACAGAAGTGACTGATACAGAACATACTAATAGAAGCCCAGTACTTAAATACTCAATAATTGAAGTTGACGTTATAATGTATTATTGTACTACGCTTCAACAGCTAAGGTTTTTAAGTATGTAACAAGGTTAAGAATTAGACTCGTCCTTCAGCAATTAAGAATTATGAGACAGATCTCTCTATATGTACTAAAGAAACAGTTACTGTGTAGATTTAAGTGCAACTTGAAATTTGATCTTATATGAAAGAAGTGTTTTAAGGTCTCAAATTTTATGATAATGTTGCATAATTTGTGGAACTATTATACTGGGCTGATATAAATGGAAAGGGAAAATGTAAGAGCTTTGCCAACCCAAATGTGTTAATTGTTGCAGCTGACTGGTAACTATAATCCCAAATGTTTGCTTGTGGTGTTTAAGTCTGAACTCTCTGTGGTATATATGAATATGATAATTTGATAAGGTATCTTATTGTACTGTTACCTGACAGAAATGGCTGTGCAACATCAGAAGATCTCTTCTGGAAACTGGATGCCTTACAGTCTTTTATTCGGGACCTTCACTGGCCTGACCATGACTTTGCAAAACATCTAGAGCAAAGATTAAAGGTATGAGATAATCTTCATATTTTCTAAATTATTTTTTGTTTTAGTTTTATTTTATTAATTATGAAATATTGTATATTAGTTTGTGTAACTTCGATTTTTTTTTTTTTTTTTTTTAGAATTTCTTCTATAAATACAGTACTGTATATAAATAGAAGCCCATTTTTATAACCTGTAGATTTATGTGAATGACCCATAAGAAATCATTGTCTGCTAAATGCTCTCTCTCTGTCCTTACAGAATACAATATATAATCTAATTGCTAGTACACAATCTAAGCTACTTTGTGGCCAGATATTGTTTTGCTAAATTATTCAAGGTTGTCATATTCCATTTAAACCAGTGGTTGATTTGTGGTCAAGTAAGAATTTTAGGTCCACTGAATCTGCAATGTTGACTTGAATTGATTGGCTCACACACTTAAAGGTTATCGTAAGTCTTTATAATAATAGTTCATAGATCACTTTGTTTATAGTTACCTGCCAACCGCTGGATTTAGAGCTCACCCTCATTCTCCAGCTTCTGGTGTCAGTATTATATAATGAAGAATGAATAGTATGAATTAGATTTATTTTATAGTGTTTTCAGTCCTGGGCTTTGATACACACTAAGCATCTCAGTTAGATACCCGAGATGTAAAGGCACACTAAGGTGAGTGATCAAGCATTTTTAATCATAAGTTTATAGTGCAAGATCAGCTAAACAGGCAGACCAGGAGGTGTGTTATTACAGACTATATATTCTGATTCCACATAACTGATCCCCATTTATAAGGATGTTTACACACAAACCATCTGGACTGATGCACAATTTTCCGGACTTCTTTTTAACATTTCTGGAAAAATGAGGGGCAGACCAGAGTCGCCTCAGAGATAAAAAAAAAAAAAAGGGAATTCCTTTATATTGATGTCCAATTTATCGAGGTTTTACTGTACTCCTACTACACTTCCTGATTTCAAAATAGTCCCAGGCATTGCTGAGAAAAATAACAAAATTCAAGAGCTGCTGAATAAAGGCTGCAAGTTATCCCTGTTGTCACAAAGATATAAGGAGATACAGGTACACCACCGATTTTCCGGGAACTGATGGTCCGGCACCTCCTTTAGTCCGGACAAAATTACGAGAGGGCACTTAACTTCCCTCCCTCCCAGCCTGGGTGAAGGTAGTTTTAGGCTTAAAGTTTTTATCTTATAAAATGTATCAGACTAAACTTAGCAGAATATAACTTGCATTGCTGAAATCCTTTTAAGATAGTGATTAATTTGAGTGTAAACACAACATAGTTTGCACAAGAGATAAAAAATGTTAGTCCTTTAGTGTACAGTACTAGTACATTTGAGTACAAAGTGTGTACAGTAATATGTTGCTCAAAATTATGGCTTTTTTACATTTAATTTACATTTAACATTTGTTTAATTTAAGTTTCTAGCAGTCCATGGTGCTTTAGAGACATGGGAGGTGTATAATTAGTGGATCAGAGGTGTATTGTTGAATTATTATTACCTGACCTCGGTTGGTCCGGCAAAACGGATAATCTGGCAAGGCCTTGGAACCAAGGGTGCCGGAATATCGGTAGTGTACTTGTAGTATATTCGCAGTCATGAAGATGTCTACTGAAGTATGAAATTCCATAGAGAAATTTCAAGGATACATTCATGTTGGACTGAATAGATGCAAAGCATATGACAGGTTATGGGTCACTATGTTTTCACTGCCAAAATTTTGGACACTTTGCTTCAGGCTGTTACAGGAAGCCTGGCTCTCCAGTTTGTGTCTTCTGTGCAGGTAGTCATGAGTCTAGGACATGCTCAAATAAGACCTCACCCTGTTATGTAAATTTTTCCACTCTTGCAGTACCACCTGAGTCAGTCAGTCATTTTAAATCCAATAAAGATTGTCCTATGATGACTTCCCAACATAAAAAAGTAATTGAGAACACCGACTTTACTTGTTCAAAAAATACATACTGCCCTCTTTGAACCTATTAAAATTAGAGGTCTGCTTAATGCGTATGCAATCTGAAACAAACTGTGTCACGTTAATGAGTTTGTGAGGGAATTCAACTTGGATATCCTCTGCGTAACTGAAATGTGGTTTTACGAATCTGACATCAACATTATTCCTGATGCTCTTTCCAAGACACATTCTCTTGTTCATGTTCACAGACCTGCTGCAACAGAGTGGCACTGATTTATTGTGTGTCCCTGCTCAATAGACTGATTAGTAGTGACTCTGGTTTTTCCTTAATTGAATTTATGGAAGTATTATAGGCATTTATAGATGAATTTGGCTTGTCTCTTGTTACTTTCTCGAGAAAGAATGGGCGATGGTTGATCTGTGGTGACTTGAATTAATGGGTTGACAACTCATCTCTGAATCCTTTTTCATCTGAGTTCTTGGAAATTCTCTGTCTAAATATTTTTGTTAATCATGTGCCATGCCCAACACATCTTTCTGGGCACACTCTAGACCTAGTTTTTTCTCCTGTTGATTTTTGCAGTTGACCTGATTGTTCCAGCAGTCTCTGTCCATGCTTTGGTCACTTTTGGTTTTAATGCCCTAAAACCCCTTTCTTACAGTAAAACAATTTCCTTCAGGAGTTATAGAAACATTGACCAGACCCTGATTGATTAGAAAGTCATTCTTTTCACTGGGTTGACTCTGAGGAGATGGTTAAATTACATATGATGTCTTCCAGTCCATTGCAGACCATTATTGTCCAGAGGTCATGAAGAGAATTACAGTATGAGATGACTCCATGGTAGACTCATCTATAAATTCTTTTCAAAGGATTATAAAACTGCTGAACTAGAGTGGTGCAGACAGTGAACAGACCATACTAGATCAGAGTATATGACTGATTGTAGGGCTGTTGGATGTTCAGTGAGGGCATGCAAGGTTGAATACTACAGAAGTCAAATAGTCTCTTGTACAGTGCTCAGAAAAATTTAAGCAGTTATGAATGGGCTGTTTGACCTGAGGCCTGGAACTAGTATGCCTTCCACTTCAGATGTTCAGCGTGCCTCATATCTTTCCTTGTTTTTTTTTATGATAAGGATATCACTTATAAGAAATGATCTTGATGGTGTTTCTTTAAATGAGGAATTTTCTGTCGTATTTCAACAGAATTACGCCTAAGACATCACTCTTCCATTGTTTGGTCCTATAGAGGTGAACAACATTCTGCACTATATCAAAGATTTGAAGAAAACTATTTTTGTAGTCGTGATCCTATTAAGCAACACACACTACATGTCCCCTTTAAGGCAATTGGGATTCTTCAATATGGAGTGGAGACATCACTTTGACTCATGCACAGCCTCTGGTGAGTCTGGAGAGGCTTCACAATGTCAAGCTTCACCTCCAGAGACATGGTTTTCCTTAGGTTCTTTGGCCTTCCCAGACAATTTCAAAGTTACACTATTCATTTCACAGTCACAAAAACAGAGCAAACGATGATAACGTTATTGCTCACATCATGTACACAAATACCCTGTACAGAGACAAATTCACTTTAGAGTCACAAAAAAAAAACACTTTACAGTCACAAAAAAAAACAAAAAAAAAATTACTTACAGTTACAAAAAAAAACCCATAAAAAAATCACTTCACAGTTACCAAAACAGAGTACAATGTGAACAATAGTGATGTCTTCATTATAAGGTAAAAAAACCACTTTTGATAATTAACAACACCGATACTGACCGATAATCGTTGACCTACATGATCACGACCATGTGTGATCCTTATGGAACAAAGCTTGGTACTCTAGTGCACCAGATGGCTGCGTGGTGGCGCTCAGGTAGACCATAGCTGGCAAGTGAACCGGGAGATGTGTCCGTGTTGGCCAGATGATGACCATCGTTCATGCAGATTGTTTACATAGTAAATAGGAGGGTGGTCTTGATACATCACCATTGTTAAAGCAGAATGTCATAGATAGGGAGATCATAGGTTGTTGGATACTTGTATCTAAGGTACCACTTGCTTATGAACATGCTCCAGACTTTATTTGTAAGATCATAAATAAATGCTTTGCAGAGGGTAATTTTTTTGCTATCTGAGAAACGGCTTTATTGTGTCTTGTTACTGAAAATATGTCTCCAATCTCTCATGTTGAATCAGTTATTTCTTTCGTTAGAGAGAAATGGAGTGATCCCTCTTGTCCAATCAGCTTATAGGAAGCATCATTCAACTGAAACTGCCTTATGTAAAATTCAGAACCATTTGGTAATAAACACTTGCACTGGAAGGTCCTCCCTCCTGGTCTTGCTGGATCTCACTGCAGCTTTTAACACAGTGGATCATCATTTGTTGCTTCAGGATCTTTGGTTGTCTGGTGTCTGTGATGATGCTCACTCACTGCTTGAGTCTTAATTGTCAGAGCGATCTCAAAGTATGATGATTGGTGAAACCATTTCAGACCCGATTCTCTTTGTAGCTTGGAGTATCATAAGGATCAGTTTTGGGACCACTTCTGTTTACAGTAGTCTTGCACCTTTACTGAGTACTCATGGTGTTGCCTACTATTTTATGCTGATGATGCACAGCTTTATGTGAAAATAGTAAATGTCAAGGATGTTGAGGAGATAATGAAATCCTTGATGTCTGATATTAAGATTTGGACAGCTAGGAGAAAACTTGACCTGAATGACAGCAAAACTGAGATTATCGTCATCCAAGAAAATAGTAGGGGAGACGGCACATATGATTTTGGCTCTTTTAAACTTTGGGGAAGTACAACTCAGCCCATCGATTCTGCTCATAATCTTGGATTGTACTTTGACTCAAAACTGAATTTAATGAGCAAATAAATCCAGTAGTTAAGAGTTGCAACTTTCATATTCGAAATCTATACAATATGCTGTGAATCAGATTTTGGATAGAGTGTCTTGTGATACTATTATGTTCATGTATTTTGTCTCGGGTTAACTGTTATAACTCTTTATGTGTCTGCCTACCTAATTATTTACTAAAGAAAGTTCAGACAGTGTTGAACAGGGTTGCCAGGCTTAATTGTGCTCTCATCAAGGACTCTCACTATCCCTATTCTTAATTGAATTGCATTGGCTTTCAATTAAAGCTACAATGCAGTTCAAACTCTGCCTAATTGACTACATGTTCGAAAATGATTTTGCATAGTGCATAGTGATGATCCTTCATGCCTTGAGGAGCCTAGAGCAGTATGGGAATGTTCTTTTACTACCTGATCCTTTTCCTATACAGCACCCAGATTGTACAATTGTTTGCCTGCATCCAAGAACCAGCTGACTTCTGTGGAGGTCTTTAAGAAACAACTTAAGACTTTTCTTTTCTTGAAAGCTTAAGATCCTGAAGAGGGTACAGTGATGGAGAAATACGGGGTGTAGGAAGTGTTACAACATAAGAGTATATGAATGATACATGTAGAACTGTCACTTTTGTGTGTGTGTGTGTGTGTATTTTTCTTTTATATTCTCAGGTTTTTAACTTTTTAGTGTTTTGAGTGCTGATTAATTCTTATGAAGAACTGACTTTAGTGACATGGTTAAATTGTTCTTCAATGCTCTTTTATAAAATGGGCTCGTAAGATCAAGCCTACAGTTTTCTTAGGGGTTATAAGAATAAGTTAAAAATGGTTAAACTACGATCATGTCTTACTCAGACCTGAAGGATCATAGTACGAGTCTACAGTTTGTGTTAACAAAGGAGAGAATTAATACAGTGAACATAAGTAATGCTCCCGTTATATCTTTGTTATAGCTTATTGGCTTATGAATACTGGCTATATTTTGTCATGATGGCTCCTGTGTTTGTTTACATTTTGAAACAGATTTGCTGATCTATGCATCAGACTTGTAAGTTAAAACATTGTTCATGTAATTTGAAGTAAGTTCTTTCCTTGCACGTAAGGCACACACATCATCCCTTATTTGTTTATGTAGTGGATGCATAAAAAGAAGAAAAAGCCTGCCCTTTAGATCTTCAAGTGAGAGACCTTGACAAGTAACATTAATGAATATATAAATGATTATCTGTTATTTGCAGACAAATGTTTACCTTAGAAATTTAATGAAAATTATTTTTTAATGCTAAAATATTTCCTTGTTAAAACAGCATTTAGATATTATTGTAAGTGTCTTTGTTTTTACTCCTCAGTTGATGGCGTGTGACATGATTGAGTCATGTATTACCCGAACAGACCAAGCATTCCAACAGTGGCTAAAGAAAGGAACTGGCTTTGTTTCTACAGACTATGTACTGCCATCTGAGATGTGTGCAATGGTCAATGTTATTCTTGATGCCAAGAATCAGTCTTTCAAACTTTGTGCAGTAGATGGAGTTGATGTGGTTAGTATTTTACCCCCCAAATTGATAAACATTTTGGACGAGTCAGGTAATTTGCATGGATATTTATTTTATTTCATTAATTTGTTAATATTAGATGTTGTAGTACACGTAGTTGGTATGTAATGAGTGAAATAATATTTGTAAGTTTTAATTAGAAAATTTTATGAATTTACATTTTATAGGTCTGCTTCTTGATGAAGGTGTTTTTAGTAAAACACTGGCAGGTCTTTTTGTAATTAATTTTCATGCATTATTTTTTATCTAAAATGAATATACTGTCCTGTATACTCTATTATTGTTGAAATTTTTATACAGTGGTCCCTCGATTAACGAAATTTCGGTTAACAAATTAGCTCCCATAAGGATTTTCAGTTCGATTAACAAACAAAACTTTGATTAACGACAGCTTTACAAGAAAACACATTTTGTTGTGTGCATCAACTGATCGGCTAGTCCGCCAATACAGTAATCGGTTCTATGTTTACATTCGTTTCCAGTGGAGTAAATATCAAGAAAGGTTGTGCTCTTTAATATTTTTTGCATTTTTTATTTTAAAATTATTAGTCATTCGAAAATTTAGTTAATATATTGATTATATATATAGTACAGGGAACAGTTTTTGTGTCCCCATCAGCTGATTAAATCACCCACCAACGCTTCTCAGTTTAACTTTGTTTACAGTGGAGTAAACATCGATTTTGTTGGTGTCTTGAATATTTTTGCATTTTTACATTCAAATTATTGGTCATTCTGAAATCTAGTTAACATATTGATAATATACAGTGCAGAAATTATTATGAAACACGAAGAAGGCATTAGAACCAATGCATTCTGTAAAGAACATGGCATGTCATCATCGACTGCCTCTACAATCAGCTGTTTGATATGTAAACAAAGCTGCCGGGAATACGACATACACACACCTCAAAATAAGTTAAAATACAGTACAGTATTCTATTGTTTTTTATTTATTATTTTACAGTATACTGTACAGTACAGTACTGTATTTAGTTTAAATTTAATATTTTGTTAGTTCTATTACCGGTATGTATACTTTTTCTGTGAGTTGGAACCAATTACCCAATATCCCATTGAAATAATAGATTCAGTCAACGAAATTTTCCGTTAACGAACGACTCTGTGGAACCACTTGTGTTCGTTAATTGAGGGACCACTGTATATATATATTATTTTCTATGTTTTGTAGATTATGCATTTTTCTATGCTATCAATTTGTGAATTATAATAGTCATAAGTATATGAATGAGAATAAAGCAGTCAAGTGAACATAATAAAACAGAAAAATGTTGAAATAAGCAAAGACTAGTTTCTGTTACAAGATATCACCTGACACAATTTCATGTAAAAAACATTTACTCTGCCATTCCTGGTGAGTATTAAATTCTATTCATTCAGTACAAATTTGATAGCAGTGACAAGGAAGTCACAATTGCTTTAGATAAATATTTCTAGATATTAATGGCTAAGTTAGGGCTACGTATTCCATTGCAGTTTGTTATTTCCCAAACACAGGTGTCAACAGATGGTTGTATTTCTCCGGTAACCATATAGAAAAAGTTTATGGGCATGGGACATCATCATAGTGAAGGCAAAAACAAAAGTCCAAAGAACAGAAGCTTCATAGCCAGTCGCAGAGTTTACTTTACATTTTAGGCCTGGCATTCCAGGTCTTAAGCATGTCAAATTAATGGTTCCATACCTGTCTAGTAGTTATATATACATTATGTGTACTATGTGTGTTCAATGATTACCAATGGTAGGATCAATAATGGCTTATGGAAAATTTAGCTTACAGATTGCCTCCAGGAACAGAACCCAGGAGGTGTCTGTATATTTGTTAAATTTTTGCTGGAGTATATGATTAATTGTTTCATACATTTTCTAGCATCAGTACCACACCAAGATTGATGACCTGATTGAGAGAACGAGTAGCTCTATGACCCAAGGAATGGTGGCTAAGCTAATATCAGTACTGGAGTCTGTCATCTCTAAACTAAGTAGATATGATGAGGGAAGCTTCATCGGGTCAATTCTTTCATTCACGGTAGGTGCAGTTATTAGTATTTTTGGAGAAAATTTTAATATTTTTTGTTGCTTTAAGTGAATGAATAATAGAGATCCAAGATACAACAATTCAACTTATTGACAAAAACACTCTTTCGTAACTCAGGCTTTACTGTATAAAACCATACATCAAACTAAATAAAACATCTGGATTGAAGCAATACTCAGTCCTAAGGAGGTTGCATTGGGGATTATGTACACTTTTTATTTCATCATCCTACTTATTCAGAATCTCTACAGGAAAAAGTACCAATAATATTAGTGGTGCAATGGTAGGGTACTTGCCTCTCACTACTGCATCTTGGGTTTGATCCCCTGGTCAAATGGATGTGAGTGAGAAGGGTGTTATCCAGTGTTCACCTACCAAATGTCACAGGTTTTCTCCAGGTACAGCATCCCCTTAAAATTCGCAGGGGTTAGGTTCTTAAAATGGCCACAAATAACCAAATCTGCGAATAACATTTGCTGACCGGGGAGTACATTTTTACTCGTGTGCAAATAAATGTATATTCCCTTTGTGTGTTTCCCCTTAGGACAATTATTTCTTTTGCCTGTATTGTATATGTGTGTTTATATCACACACACAAAACACATACAAATAAATGATAATGGGAAAATCCTCTCACAAATAATCAGAAACAAATTTATTAAAAGTGGGAAGTTTCTTGGGGGTAGACTCTTCACACTTTTAATACACTTGTTTCTGATTATTTGTGAGAGGATTTTCCCATTATCATTTATTTGTATGTGTTTTGTGTGTGTATCTACACACAGACGGCAATCCAAATTGCCAACCGTATTTTTCTCGGTTAATTCAGACTTTTTCCTGATTAAATAATTCCCCTCTGGAAATTGCTTTATCGGGAAATTTGCTTAATATGGACTGTATTTCCTTGTACTGTATAGTAATTAGTCTGGATTAAGAGGGTTTTACTGTAGAAATGGTCGCATACAAACAAGTACAGTACAGTATACCGTATGCCACTATTCCTCCCTCTCTCATTTGACAACTGTTTGTGTATGAAACTAGGAAACTATTTATTTTATTTTCTCTCATACTTAACAAAAATTTTACTATTTTTACAACTTATTTGTTAAGGAGGTAGGCTAATAAATATCTGATGAAATTGAAAAAGAATCATAGATAGTTTGGCAAGTTTAGATACACTATACCTATCACCTCACAGCAGTGGTGACTGTATGAGTGCAGGGTTAAAAAAAAATCTTGTCAACTTGCCCGGTGATATATCCGGGCTGCCAGGCTATGCAAATTTTCTCAGCCTGGCTTTAATCTTATTTTGGCTACTTCCTTTGTACAATACATAAGATTTATTAAACTATCCTCAAATGATATAGTAATATTATTTTTGTGTGTGTGTGTGTTGTTGGTGTGTATTATTGGGCTGTCCGTGTGCTATCTTGCAGTATCAGCAGAATGTGAGTGGATCAGGAAAGGAGCTAGGAAAAGCATATATCAACTTTGCCAGAAACTCCATGGACCAAATCAGGCAAAAGGTTAATGATGAACTCTGGATTCTCAACTTATTTGAGGTAAGTACAGTAGTTGTCATAAATGTTATTGACGTGAGAATCGTGGAAATTTTGTGCAACTGTCTTAAAAACAAAACCATAGAATGATAAGAATTTTTGGTCTCAATATCGTAATTAAAAATACTTTTATATACAGTAGTGTAAATAAATATACCAAAAAGCACATACATACATACATACCGGTACTACTTTGCTGTCACTCGGAATCGAGTATGACGATCATCCAGCTGTGATATAATGATATGAGTTATTAAGGATGTCACTTAGGTTGGTGAGTTCTGAGGTGACGAAAGAGGCTGATACAGGACTGGCAGGGCCGATCACAGAAGTTGCATATGTGGGGGGCTACATCTAGTGCGGGAGGGGCGATGGCAGCATCTTTCCGCCTTTGGCACTTGTCTGCCTCGTTATGCAGTTGGGCTAACTCGAAAGTATTGACACCTTCTCGTGTGGTGCTCCTACAAGCGCTACGGTGTAGAGTAATCGTCGTCCATGTGAGGGGGGCTGATTGGCACTTTTTCAGGTTTGTCTTAAGACTTTGTCTTAAGACTATCCTTATACCTCTTCAGTTGCCCGCCAGCATTACGTTTATTATTCGTTAGATGACTGTAAAGTAGCTGCTTTGGCTGTCTACTGTCGTCCATGCGGGTAACATGGCCAGTCCAGCGTAATTGTTCGTGGATAATGGTAGCCTCAATGCTTCTACAGTTGGTGTCAGCAAGAATACTGGCATTTGTTCTCTTGTCTTCCCAGTGAACTCGGAGGATAGAACGTAGACTACGAGGTGAAAGTTTTCAAGTGCCTTGATGTGCCTCCTGTATGTGACCCATATCCCGCTGTCATTTAGTAGGGTGGGGAAGACCACTGCTCTATATACAGTACTTGCAACTTTGTAGATAATTTCAGCTCCCTACAGCTGAAGACACGGTCTCGGAGTCTGCCAAAGGCTTGAGATGCACATCTGATCCGATGCCGAATCTCTTCATCGATGTCCGTGGTGGTGGAGAGGTGGGAGCCGAGATACCGAAAGTGGGTAACATTAGTGAGGGTAGTGCCATTAAACTGGATGAATGGTGGAGGTGTGGCTGAACCAGGGGCAGGCGAAAGAGAATCTGAGTCCTACGTACATTCACCTCAAGGCCGAAGTGTGTATACGCATCTGTGTAGGTGTTCATAATGGTTGCCCCTCGTGTAACGAGGATGGCCGGCCCAAGGGCTACCTAGAAGTGAATTTGTTTAAGGTGTAGAAGCTGTCACCAACACAACCACACCCTAAGTTAACAAGTTGTGTGACCCAGTGTCAAGTAATAGTCCGAGAAGACCGGACAACTCGGCAACAGCACTGGCTAATCATTACCCCGGAACACAATCCGCAAATCGATTAACATCCAGGTTCCCAGTTACTGCTGGGTAGACAGAAGCAAATGGTGTAAAGAAACTTGCCCATAGTTTCACCCTGCCCGGGGATTGAACATAGGACCACTCGCTTGCGAGGCGAACATGCTGACCATTACACCACAGGTCGCCATAACATAGATACATGCATACAGAGAGAGAGAGACATAAGTTCATACATCACGATTAGCTAAATCTCAGCTATTTTTTTATGATGTAAAGTTCTAAGATAACATCAAGTGCAGTACTACTGTATACGTTGAATTTAGGGAGTCAATATTCCTCCCTGGCCTTTATTGATGGCAAGTAAAAAGAAAGGATAAACTTTTCAAGGGGGTTTAGTTTTACAGATCCTGGAGCTCTTTGTGGTTCCTATTCCTCCCTCTTACCTGACCTTGGATTATAAGAAATTGCTTAGTGATGGGAATAACACTGAAACACAGGATTTATTCTGAAATCCCTCTTTCTGGCAGAGCATGCAGCTGATAAGTTTGGACGCCCTCCCTCCGTGGGTGTTGTGGTGTAGTTGTCTCGGAAATGATTCAAAGATTATAGATTGACCTGAAGAAAGATAGTGAATCCTTATCTTTTAACTCAGAGTGTGCAGATTTGATAGACACCTTTAATAGAAGTCCTCCTATTTAGAGAAAAACTGTTGTACCTAATTTCCACAATTTGTCCCAATGGATGTGACAAGAAGGTGAGGTTTGTGCGAGGAAAGTGAACATCCCAACTGGCAGCTTGTATGACAAGAACCCACCTGGCTACAGGCTTTGTGTGAGAAAGGGAATAAGCAACTTATGTGTACTGTGGGTGGGTACATAGACAAGTCTTTTGACTGGACAATAAGTGACAGTTTATGAAATTGTCTGTATCTTGTGACACATATAACTATTGGACAGGACTCCACCATGATCTCCTTTTTTCTTATTAAAAGTAGAATGAGTAAAGCCATACAGCAAAGATGAATTTTGATTCCAACACCACCATATATACCACATAATGTGGTTAAGTTATTACTTGAAGTGATAATGCCATGGCTCATTGTTTTATCATGAATCAAGCTGTAATGTTGTAAAATAATGAGGATATTGTTGTTGATTAGATTATTACTGCATTATTATTAACATTTAACATCTTTTCCCAGTGGATACAATCATATGAGTATTATTTAAATACAGTGTATAATAAAAAATTATAAAAACAATTTCATTTAAATAGAATGAATTATTGAAACTTGAATTCTTGCCTCTGCAGCAGTGGTATGCCGCACAGGTGACAATGTTATGTACATGGCTGAGCGAAAGACTAGATCATAACCTCCATCCATACCAATGTACTTGTCTCGCCCATATTGTTAAGGTGAGTTAGATGATCTGGCAGAGGATGGGCTTGCAGGAACAGTGAGTATATTTTATTCTTTGTAAGTGTTCCCTAGTATTTATTTTGCATCTTTTGACACTTCCTATTGCTATGTTGACTGAGGTTGATTGCACAGACAATTTGAGTTTCATTTAGTTACTTTAATTATGTTTTGTTAAGTAGAAAAATTGTTGCAGGGTGTAATATAAAGTTTTTACTGTAATTAACTTGGAAATGGATTTGCACTAGCTAGTTCATAAGTTACCCTCTTAGTATGTCTCATGTTAACAAGTTTTATTTTCTTGGGAAAAATACCTGTTTTGGAAAAAAATTTCTTATTATTTTAAAAACTGCAGAATGTATAAAATAAATGCATGAATAATAAGAAAAAAATTTAAGACAGTGCTTCATTTTTCCCTTGAAAACAGTGCAATGCAGTTTATCGTTTCTTTTCTTTTAGCCTTACCATCCTTCTCCTCTGTGGTCATACATCTCCAACCCCTTGCTGCTTCTGTCCACCCCTCTGCTTCCTATCCAGAAGATGGAATTAGACTGGTCATCATTTCATTAGACAGTGCTACTAAATGACATAAACATAGCTTAATTTTTTTTTCACTTATGATTTATAGATTGAGGTATAATAACATTTGTTTTCACATTGACCAGATGTCTACTTCTATCTGTCTGGTCTTCATCTCTCACTTGCACCAGCCACCATTCAACCTGAGGCCCCGTTTATTTGCTTTTTTTCAGCTCATATTCTCAGATTTCACAGCGTATGGGCTAGGTCACGAACAGACTGGGGTACAGGCCTACGTAGTGGTGAGTCAGCGAGTGGAGGCAGAACATCAGCGACTCGTACGAGGCGGCAAACTCAAGGAATAAGTCATCCCTTCCCACCGTCAAAAACGTGTCCCGTGTTGTTGTCTTAGGCTTTGGCTCTTTTTATGGCAGGATGAGTGTTTAAATATCTGTTAAGTTTTGAGAAAAACTGATAATGTATATAGAATAAATGGACTTCTACCTCAAAGATTGATAAAAGTGATATTTTAGACTGAAAGACAAAAGTATACATAAAAATGTAATCCAGTAAATTAACTTCAACTTTATCTAAGATTTTCTTCATAAAGAAGTCTTGGTAAAAGCATCAGATATTTGATAAAAAGATGCAAAGAAAATGTTATAGAAGAGGTTCAAGTATTAACAGCAGTTTAAACACTCTACCTGAACACAGACTATGACTTCCCTTTGGCCCCTGGAAGTCGCTCGAACTACTGTGGAGAAGGTGGCCGCTGACGACCTACTTTACATGTGTAATGACATCTTCTAGAAGCTTAACTCTACCACAGTTTTGATGTTTATATTTTGCTGCGCTGTCCTCCAATTTGGGCTACAATCTTGAAGTTTAACTCAAGATTAGTTTATATGAACTTGGTCATTATTATAATGCATATTGTTTCCCTCAAGATTGCAGCTCAGCTAGAGAATCGGAAATCAGAAAAAGGACATTTTTTTTTATGTACCGTACTTATCCTCCTTAAACATCCAAAATTAAGATAATTATCAAACTTGAGTAACATATAAGCAATCATTTCATGAATGCTCATTAACTGCCTCTATTTCTGTAGCATGCAAGGCAATGTTCAACTTGAGACAAAATTTTATATTTATTTTTTGAAAACTTCAGAATATATAAATTCAGCCACATTACACAATTTTTATGACATGAAGAAAAGGGGTTATAACACAACCAATGCCTTACTTCACATTCTCTCTTGACAAAAAAATGGCATGTATAGGATATTCCTATTATCGTACTTCCCGTGATGAGGTTGTTGTGCTCTATTAATACTTCTTTATAAAACCTGATAGTGCTCTGTTCTTACTTAAGCATCCCACAGTGTGTTAAATGATATAATGAGACAGCGGTTAAATTATCTTGCTAATAATTACAAAAAAGACCAGTACAGTATTCCAACATTGCCCACACCACCACATGGAAAGATACACAACATTTAGTATGTGATGTTCACATCAAGGTTCTTCCAAAGTACCAGTGAGTTAATCTTGCTGATTAGGATAACTATCAAGATTAAGAAAATTTTTACATTTACATATTATTCCTTAGTTAATGTTTAATCTATTGATCTATAATTTAAGTTTTTCATTTCTCTCTTTTCAACTTTTAGTTTAGTTGTAAAACCCTCTTCCCAGGAAGAGCTACCCTCTGATAGCTCCACACTACAACCTTCAGGCTGTTCTTAACCCTTCCTTATTTTCTCTTTCTGTTTAATAAAAAATGAAAATTTGGCCTCATTTATTTATACAAGGTTCTTCCTTTCTTTTTGTAAAGGGCAATAATTTGAAGGAAATCAGATTAAAGCTTCCATTTACAATACAGAACGTGGTGTAGTACATTATATTTATTAACTAATGATGGGGATATTATTGAAGAAAGATGCAAATGTGGACATAAATTTTTAACTTGTATACACACACACACACACACACACACACACACATATGCACACACACATACACAAATGGTAGACCCTAAATTTCCACAGAGATTATGTGCCAAAAAGTTCTAACACATATAGAATCTGCTAATATTGAATAACTAATGGGCCTTTTATGTCATCCAACAGTCCATTAATTTTGATAAAAAAAACCCTATTTGTTCCTTTATAGTAAAGATTTTAAGCTAAAATATTTTTTTGCAAATTATGTGTACAGTATTTCAGAGTGAGAATGAAAATTTGACCAAAAAATTCTGCCATTGCAGCCAGAATCTTGGGACCATGTTTTGGCCATACATAGCCATCAGCTTAGTGTTAAAGTCTGTTGCTTTTACACTTGTTGTTTACCGTAGCTATACTGTATGTTCACGTATATGTATTTTTCTGTGTGTGCTGTTACATCAAGCTGAAAGCATAAAGATGTCTTTGGAGATGGAGGAGGGAATCCCTTTCCTCAGCACATTTTATATACCATTGGTGTGAAAACCAGTAAGCTATTTTGGCTAAGCTACCTCACCTGGTTGAGCCAGTTAAGGCACACAATGTCCCACCACCACACACTGCCTCAATTTAGGCTCTCTCTCGGTCGTTACTTTTCATTTTACAGTGTATGAAAATTTGGTTTTCTGTTCTGACTTCTGCTCAGTTAAAAACAATGCTGAGGAAGACAAGGAAGATATTCTCGCTCAATAGCAATGTGCTTATAAGTCATGAGAATTTATAAATTAATTCTATGATTTATTGGGTCCTCATGTTGTGCTTTTTGTCTTTTTTTTTCTTTTTTCTTAAAGCATGTAGCACAATACTGTACAAACTATTATAACTGAAATAGTATGATTGAGAATATTTAGCCTAATGGAACAGCCAGTGAAAACTTTGATAAAAGATAAAACTGGCCAGAAATCTTGAAACAGCACTGTAATCACTCACAACTGTTCCTCTTCATTCACTTTTAACTGTTGTCATAGTTTCCAGTGGTCATTCTATGCGCAAATAATCAGGAAAATACTGTGTTATAGAAATTCAGATGTAAGAAGTTGTACCACAAATTATGGAAAGTATTTGTCCTAGAAGTAAAATACGAATTACTAATATATCCTAAAAAGAATTAGTAACACCCATGCAGAAAATAATAGTTTGGGGTTGTCATCACTACCATTTTATTTTTTCCCATACACAAGGCAAAACTTCATGGGTAAAATTTTAATTCAGCACAAAGAAACCTGCAATATATCCGACAGTGTTCCAGCAAAGCAAAACAATGAATTGAGTGAGGTGAAGTCTACCCCCTGAAGTAAGGGGGGGGTAATTTTGTAATTTATTTTTACTAACCTATATGTAGGCTTGTTAGTCAGCAGTATGGAAATATCCACAAAAATTATATTACTGTATACAGGTACAATACACCACCGATTTTCCGGGAACTGATGGTCCGGCACCTCCTTTAGTCCGGACAAAATTACGAGAGGGCACTTAACTTTCCTCCCTCCCTCCCAGCCAGGGTGAAGGCAGTTTTAGGCTTAAAGTTTTTATCTTATAAAATGTAACAGACTAAACTTAGCAGAATATAACTTGTATGATGGGAATCCTTGTAAAATAGTGATTAATTAGAGTAAAAACAGCACAGTTTGCACAAGAGATAAAAATTTTAGTCCTTTAGTGTAATACATTTGAGTACAAGTCTTTCAACTCGTTTTTTTGGGTGGATATACATAATTTTCTTTATTTGTGTTTTCTCATTTACATGCACACACCATCCTAAATACATATTGTGAACAAAATTAAAAGAAATAATTGTCCTAAGGGCAAACCTGTACTCAAATGTACTAAGTAAATTACTAGAAATTTTATGTCTAGTGCAAACTATGGGATGCTTGTACTCAAATTAATTACTATCCTACAAGAATTCCAGCAATGTAAGTTATATTCTGCCAAGTCAATTCCATGACATTTTATAAGTGAAAAACCTACTCCCTCTATATGACTGATAAATACACACTAGGCAACCTTCACCGCCTGCTGTGTCAACAACTCCCCTCTCTCCTAGCCATGATGAGGGTAGTCTTGGGCTTAAAGTTTTTATCTTCTAAAATGTTGCTGACTAGACTTAGCAGAATATAACTTGCATTGCTGGAATTCTTGTAAGATAGTGATTAATTTGAGTATAAACATCATATAGTTTGCACAAGAAATTAAGTTTTTAGTTCTTTATTGTAGTACATTTGAGTATACAAAGTGTGTACAGTAATATGTTGCTGAAAATTATGGCTTTTTCACATTTAATTTACATTTAAAGAATTTTTAATTTAAGTTTCTAGCAGTCCATGGCGTACAGGTATAATTAGGGGGTCAGAGGTGTTTTCATGAATTATTATTACCCGACCTCGGTTGGTCTGGCAAAACGGATAATCTGGCAAGGCTTTGGAACCAAGGGTGCCGGAAAATCGATGGGGTACCTGTAAATTTGTAAATTTTTTATTTACTTTGTACTGTACTAGAATATCTATTTGCTGATTTTTAGCAGTTTTAGAATCCACCACCATTTTCCATTCCTTTTTTAGACAACAGTGGACTAGATTTACTTACTGTTTTCTCATTTATGAAATTGATTATATACTTTTCATTTTCTTTTCATCTTATACAGTACAGTACAGTACTTGAAATACCTGACACAAAAGTTTGTTTTATATTATTGTGTACCGGTAGCTATAATGTACTCGAACTGTAGTATTATGTTAGTACAGTACAGGTAGTCCACACTTAATACGGGAGATGGATCTATAAAAAGTATCGTGCTTTATAATTTCATGCTAAATGAATTTTAAAAAAACATTTAAAGCCATGTAAATGGTAAGAGATGCATGTTGGAGGGTAAAAGCGAAGGTACAAGAGAGCAGAAACTTGATGATTAACAAGGTTAACTGTGTTGCGTTTAGTACAGTCAGGTCGGCACTGCTACAATATAAGTCGAGTATAATACATAAATAGTATTTATGCAAATAAGTTTTAATTACCCAATTTAATGGCATATAAGACGCACTTTTTTTTAAATGGGTGAAAAAAATGACCCGGCATCCTATATGTGAAATTGCGGTCTCCTATAGGGTAATGAATCCTCCAGTTGCTGTATCCGGAAGGCTAAATTCTACCTATTACAACTCTAAAATTAAGAATATGCTCTTGCTTACTTAAACACATTTTTAATACTTTTAATTCATTAGAAAAGGTATTATTGTAAATATAAAAACTACTGATGATGATTACCCAAGATGATTAGCATCCGCATGGCACCCATCTCTTCAGAGCTAAGCAATAATCTTTTCTGAACCTTTACAAGCATTACTATCTATTAATGACCAT